TTAAAATAACACGACCCTAGGGGGGCCGGGGCATGCCACCGTGAAATTGTTGTTTTCTAGACGGTCGAAAATAACGTCTGGGGCGTTTTGGACGATCAATGTGTTTCCTTTTCTTTCTTTTTTCTTTATTTTCCAAAAAAAAGTGTGGGGGGTGGGGGTGCAGAGCCAGACCTTTCCCCCTCCTAAATCCGTCCCTGACTGTCTTAACAAAGAATACCGTTAATTCAATGTCGCGTGAAGGTAAATTTGCGCACTACTTACATTTCATGAACTGTTGTGGGCACTACAATTCATGCATTGGTAATTAGTTTGATACATGGGTAGTTAGCCTATAGTTGGCTTCCAACACGCAGTATTGGCATGCAGTTAAATATTAACGAAATAATCGCTCAAGAGATACATTGAGTAATGCTAATTAATAAGATATATTACTTGCTGACGTGCCAAAAAATGATATGTGATTAATAATTATAGGATTATTACAGTTAAATTATCTATTAGGTTTACTGATAATTGCAAACAATGGAGCATCTGGTGCTGATAGCATGTGAAGCAGGTTATAATAATTTAAATATTGGTACTTATTCTCAACGTAAACTAAACCAATAGATAACGAATTAATTACTCAAAATAAAGTTAATCTAATTTTAAGGAAATTAATGTTGAAAAAAATCATTTAGATTATAAATACAATAGAACCCTTAAGGGAACACCTTCGGGACTAAAAAAAGGTGTCCTTTTAATGGTGTGCTCCCTGCATAGTGGTACCCCTATTCAGAGAAAACCAAAAACGTAAAATTTTCCCCTTAATGGGGGTTTTTTGCATGTTTTCATACAACGATGACATAGTGCCTATGTTCTTTATACTTTTATTTTGATTGACATAGAATCAGTTACAGTAGAATTACAACAAATTCATAGCAATAATTTGCAATCCAAATTCAATTAATTTATAATAGGAAATCAGCAGAAATGTAATTAAAACAATAGTTCCTAATATTATTTCATGATGCAATGAAATCCCCATGCTTAAAGGTGAAAATTGACAAGATCGGTTTTTAGGTATTAACACGTGCAGTAGGATATACCGATGTTATTTTCTTATTTTGAGACTTGTATAGTTGTGAAAAAAACCAAAAAAAAAACCAGTATCCCCTTAATATAGATTTTTTGACCATTTGGTACACTCAGAAAGACTGTCCCTGTCCCCTTCATAGTGGTGTCCCTCTATAGGGGTTGGCCGCAGGCCTAGTGTTAAAAATATATTTTCGCTCGTTTCACATAAAAGTGTCCCCTTAATAGGAATGTCCCTTGAATAGGGGTGTCCTAAAGGAGTGGTTCTACTGTATATAGGCGTAATATTTCAATGAAAGTCGCATTGGCTACTTCTATGTTAGACGACGGGACAAACCGTTTCGTTGCTCTACCTGTATATGTGAGTCAAAAGACGAATTAGTTCCCATCTTTGGAATTTCCCGTTATTCACAACGTATTGTGGAATACACAAATTAATTAACTTTAACAATTATTCTCTTCTCATGTAGGCATAGCGTATTCGTTACTGAGAAGCAACAACTCGGGTTCAGGTGGATGAACTAATATAGGTGTGTTTCCTCGACCTTGCTTGCTATTTGTTTATTCTATATTGTGAGCTGAATTTGAATATAATAAAATAAAAATAAAATGAAAAAAATCCTCTAAAATGATATTACCTCACCACCCAGGATTGATTCCAGATCCCGCATCGATTGGAACTGAGCATCAGTTGGAAAGATTCTCAGAACCTGAAAACTAAATTTTGAAATTGTAACAATTTTAATATGAAAATTGTGTCGAAGTCTTCTAGGCTTTGTACTCATTAATCTCTGTTAATTGCGAAAATATCCTTGTTTTCGAAAGTTCGAATATATTTATTGTCTATAGGCCTACACGTGCGTTAGTCTGGTAAGATAGTATAATACATATTCCAAATATCGAAATGCACGCCCGACACGATGGCGTGCATTTCGATACTTGGAGTATTCCTATGTATTATGCTATCTTATCTGTGATTAATCGGTTTTTTGTATAGTCTGGTTTTCATAAAAATCACTACACGCTATCGCCGACTCCTTTGGTCAGTTGAATCATGGAGGTCAAGCTCAGTTTCCATCGGAATCGCTCATCCTATCGGCGACATTTGTCGGGAAGGTTGCACCTGGTTCAACTTTGCCCATAGCGTTGCAGACGAATCGGGGTGACTTCCCGATTGCGTCAGGGCAGCTAACAATGCACCCTGATTCGTCTGCAACGCAATGGGCAAAGTTGAACCAGGTTCTACCTTACAGCTGCCGGCGACTGTCGCTGACAGGGTGAGCGATTCTATAGAAACCGAGCTTAAGCATTGGGGACAGATGCATTGCAATGAAAACGCTGTAGCGTCTGTGTAGCGATTGTATGGAAACCAAACTTATGTGTGTGTTTGTATATGAACATGATGGATAAATAGTATCCATTTTAGCAAGTTTACTTAACACTTACTTGTCGTATTGGACTCTGTCAGCCCATGTTGTCGCAATTGCGAGACAGATGAAAATAACACACTTCATCATGGCATCAACTCGTCTTCCTTCTGATAGTGGCTTATGAAATTAATTGATTCCCTTTATATACCGTATGTTTCCTACCATATTATCAATATCATATCTAATCTTTTTCAACAGCTGAAGTTACTTATGTATGAAGATATATTTAAATGCAATAGATGGACGTTGACAGCGTGTTTTTTTTTTCTTACTGACACGTATCTGGGATTCTGGCAAGGTACGTTCAACACACAACTGTGTAAAATTATTTTTTTGAATGCCACGTGGTTTGCAAGCTTAGATTTGTTGGTTATTCGATTCCCCGACCGTGCAAACACAAAATGTTACGGTGATAACATTCACAAACTTTGTTATCTCAGAAAACAACGTCAACACAGCTTTGAAGCAACGTTTCCAACGTTACTTTTAGCCAGAAGTTAAGTTGAATACGGTAGCTTGGTGGTTAAGATGCTTGCCTTCCAATCCCAGCGCCATGGGTTAAATTCCTCTAACTGGAAGGGAGCACAATTTTTTCTCACGACCATAAGCAACTTTACCCCATTCCCCTCCTTAAGCCTCATAATGAGGCTCTTTATAGCATCTTTATGTTTGTCTTGTGAAGGATATGCTACATAGAAAAGTGTAGTATTACGTTCGTTATTTGGCATATTCTTGGCATTCGGCTTAAATCAATAAATTAATAAAAAAAATATAAAGCTTTAATAAAATAATAAAATAATTAAATAATATTTTGATTTCCTGACTACAAAATTATTGTAACGTAAAATTGTTAGTTTATTACACATAGGCCTACTATACAAACGCACTAGTGAACGTAAGTCTTTATAAATTAGAGTGAATACAAATTAAATAATAACATATATATAAGGCGTAATTTAAATATAGCGTGTGAAATGTAGTAATAGGTTTAAGACATTTTTTTTGCTTGTTTTTAATATTCATTACAATCCATACATTCATACACAATTACAGTACAACAAAATTGTAAATTGGAAAAAAAATGCGAAAAGATTGTACAGAATAAACATGTTTTAACTACAACATAAAAATATTCACAAAAACACATTGTATAACAATAAAATGTGTAGTAATTATATATGGAAAGCATGTGATAGATCTATAGGCCTATGAGCCTTCTTTTATAAAGGTCCCCAGCGGAAAATATGTGGAACCAAAGAATACACCTATTGAAAACCAACTATGTATGTAACTACAGTATATAGCTCTCTATAACAAAGAAAGGCCAAATATAGACATACCAAAATAATGTAAATATGAGAACCATAATAGTGCTTCATCCGGTCAGAATTTCCACAATTTAACGTAAGTATTTTCGAAGATATTATCGTCAAAATCATCGTTATTGTCTATATTTTGTCGTTGCCAACCGTCATCATTATGACCATCATCATTATCATACTTAAACCTGTCATTCGTAGGATCATCTTTAGACAATGTTCAATGTCATTATTATCATCATACTATATCCATAACCATTTTTAACTTCGTTTTAATGACATGATATAATATGACATGATTTTTCGTTGCTTACTTTAAACAGAAACAGTATTTAAAAATAGGACCGTGTAACGATGTGGCTTTATCATCAACACATTGAGAACATGTACTTTGCACTATACATGTATCCAACAATCACCATTAAAAGAAAACTGTAGATCAAATACCAAAAGTCTGTATGATGTACTATAGAAATCTAACTAGGCCTATTATTAATGTATGAACTTATTGTTAATCACCGTTGATACGAAGTAATTATGTTATCGTTATGGTTTTATTATTACAAAGAAAACCTTCTGTGATACGTCATTATAACTGTAATTTTGATTGTGATGGTAACAAAAAACACAACACACAACTTATACATTATACGCTTAAGATCTTCCAAAAGATCATCTAACTATCTATACTATAAATTGAGTAAGGCCTTATGTTTGTGCTGATTTACCGTCCAGACGCGTGTAGAGCTCTGGAAGAAATATAATATCGTAGCACCATTCTTGTATCCAACCATCACCATTAAAAGAAAACTGTAGATCAAATACCAAAAGTCTGTATGATGTACTATAGAAATCTAACTAGGCCTATTATTAATGTATGAACTTATTGTTAATCACCGTTGATACGAAGTAATTATGTTATCGTTATGGTTTTATTGTTACAAAGAAAACCTTTTGTGATACGTCATTATAACTGCAATTTTGATGGTGATGGTAACAAAAAACACAACTTATACATTATACGCTTAAGATCTTCCAAAGGATCATCTAACTATCTATACTATAAATTGAGTAAGGCCTTATGTTTGTGCTGATTTACCGTCCAGACGCGTGCACAGCTCTGGAAGAAATATAATATCGTAGCACCATAATACTGGTATATTTTGAGCTCCTATTTATGTCTATTCAAATATCATAAAAACAATTTTACGAATCTACATAATATTGGATGAGGTTCGCCATGCTACAAAAGCAACACATGTGAGAATTATATTCAAATTACGTTTGTACAGTACGGTGAAAAGAGCAGTGGAGTATTCATAGTGGTGGTAAGTGGAACGTACCACTTTAGTGAGTGCGGCTGATACAAACGCGTGTGTATGTTATTATAATGTCATAAAATAAGTCAATACATTGACTATGTTAATCATTAAAATAAGTCAATACGACACGAATAAGGCATATCTACATTTTAGAATGTATTGTATAATCCATTTTTTTACCACATTCTTTACCAGTATGCCTATCTTACCTACTTTAACATTATAAACAAAATCAGTATTGGCTCATTTTCTTCTTTCTTTAAAAGGTAATTTGACTTTCATTTGCAAAGGTCTTTCTAAATTATAGTTCAACTGGGTTTCGCATAATTATTATTTAAATGATATACCGGGCTGGATTCATAGTCGGCGATGGTTGCTAAGTAATGGGAAAGAGTTAACCTTACTCCTGTATAGTTGGTGAGTGGGCATTGTTATAAACCCGGGTGGCCTTTTTTTTTTGCACATTTGATGGTCAGAATACTTGACAAGGTTCCCCTTTTATCTAAATGTGGCGAAAGGCAGTTTTGTTTTTCCGAACCATTGAAAGATTCACTCGTCTTGGGCATTAGAATGAGGGATTACACATACCAGGCTTGCCACTTTACATAATTCCGATCATCGATTTTTTAATGAGATAGCTTCCTGTGTTTTTGTTTTTTGTTTTTGTTTTTGTTTTTTTTTTTTTGGCCCCATCGACGACCGGCGTGAGAAAATGCTTGTGGAGCGGGTGAGAATGAGAAGAGGCTCTGGGGCGTGATTCTCACGTCGTAGGGAGAGACTTGCGGAGGGATAGGCCTAGTATCTTACCTGCTTTAACATTATGAACAAATTATTATTGGCTCATGTTCTTAATTTAAAAAGTAATTTTACTTTTACTTGCAAAAAATGACAGCTAAAGACGAAGCAGTATTCAATATTATGCTTTAGAATATTCTGTTATTGCAATACTTGCTGAATTTGGCGGACTTGGCTTCACAGAATAATTATTTTCTGGGCAGCAGATCCATAGGGTTGGATGGTCGTCGACGTCCGGTCCTCCCCCCAGCCTTAATAGAGTGAAAAAAAAAAAAAGAAAAATAAAAAAATTGATCGCCGATAAGTCTCTGCAAGATAACCATATAAGAAATAATTATACACCTTCGAGTTGATGGGTTTTGATTTGATAATGTGGTTCCAAAAACGATGTTTTTGATATTTAAAAGTGTTTGCAAAAATATTCGTATAAGTTGTAAATGTTCGTTATTGAATTATCCATATATCACTCAATATGTTTGATTGATCTATTGATTGTAATTTTTTATTGTTTAATTTTTTAATCTGTTGTCCACTTCTATCAATTGGTTATGACCATTGGTATCCTCGTCTTCAGTTAGGCTCTACAAAGATAAAAATTAAATAATAGCCATCATTAAAAGACTATAATTAAAATTATTAGTAAATGGTTCAAGGTATATTGTTCTTTTTTATTTTTATTTCTACTGATAAAATAAATATTGAATAAATTAAATTAAATTATTATTATTATGATTATAACATCATCATCATAAATATATACTGTATGTGGTGAGGTAAAAATATGTATTTCAACGGACCTTCTAGAATATCAATCAAACATAGAAACTCACCAATCAGAACGTGTTATTTAATAGCCAAGAATACGCGCATGTCCCAAAAAGTGTGTGCGTAAGTTTACGCTCTTAAAATTCCCCACATTATCAACAATAAACAATGGGTGGGGCTTAGCACAAAATGATCGTTGATCTAGTAAGAAAAAATGACATCGTTCCTATATCTTATTGGACTGTAAGAATTAACATAAACCAACAAACTCATGTCGATCCTTACCCCCTTATTCTTCTCTTTCACTGTAAGGAAGACCATAAACCAGCAAAAAAGGCCACAAAGATGGAGTGCTGTATACATCCCATAATAGACATATCGATAGTGGGTTCTGTCGTATATTAAACACGCCCCTTCCTCTCCATTCGGCTTGTAAGCAAACTCCAAACAAGACCAGTTCAGAAGAGCGCCAAAATAAACAGGCGCAGGGATAAACGCTGTTGAAGTTATAAAAAAATAAATATTAATGATTATTATGACACAGAAACAGACGGCAAATAAATAGAATTATATTAATTTATTCATGCATTTTTTCATTGCAATAATTCGTTTATTCATTCATTCGTATTTATAGACGTTTGTTCGTTCGTACGTCTACACAAACATGCATCCATCCATCTCGCTGCATACATACATGCATCTATCAACCTATTCAACCTATACATCCGACCATCTGTCGCTTGGTCATTTGTTTGTTTCTTCATTCATTCATTCATTTATCCATATAATTATTCATTTACTCATACTTCCATTCATCCATTCATTCATTCGTTCGTTCATGTATGTTGGATAGTAGGAAAAATGAAATAAAGCATAAAAGAGGAGAGGTATTCACCTAAAATCTTAACCAGAAATATCTTGGTACCAAGCGCAAGTGACCTATCCTGTTTATCAACACACCTGGGAAAAATACGAAAAGTCATCATTTATTTACAAAATATAAAACTAAGATGTAATAAATTACTTTGCCATGAAAATGAATGAGAAGCAAGCTGCTTGATTCACGATTCTAGACATATCACATTTTAAAATTAATTTTATTTAAATTTATAGGCCCAATGCCAAGGATATTTATTTTATCACTTTTTTAAAATTAATTTAATCATTTTCCTAAGTGGCATATTCCATTTTTATTACAAGGACTTTTAACGCAGTAAAAGTCCTTGCTTATTATGAGCTAGAAAACTGAAATAGTTGGCCCTATAGCCACGCTTACTGAATTGTCACCTGACTACAACTTCAGAAATTACAGTAATTTCTATAGAAACTAATCTAAGCTTACAAGAAACCGTGGTTGCACTATTTAAACTCGTTATCATTAATTAGCCGATTCTTACATTTCTTTTCATATTATTTTTAAATTAAAATTTTAAACAGGAATAATTGAAGATACAGAGATTATTAAAAAAAACAAAAAACAATGTCTCAATATAGGCACTACAAAATGCAATTAACATCAATTAAATTTAAAAAAATACTCTACAAAAATGTAAATTATAAACAAAATTATTATTTAATATAGGAAACCTAGAGGTCAAAATTTGAAGCTAACCTACTTACCTCAGTGTCACGAATACATCGGCACTCATTCCTAGACTACTGGTCCCCAGTGCTATCAAAATCAATATCACTGCTATAAGAAATTTCAAATTACATTTGTCGTCGATTGGACATGTGCCGTTCTCAGCTTCCACACCCGGGTCAACGCAACTACAGTTTGAGTATTGCTAACGAAAAAAAAAAATCGATAGTTTATAAATCAATATACAGTTTAATCGTGAATGCTCTGTCGGTAAGCGTGTAAAGGCGCCGTACGTTTACGCACACCCTCACAACCAATAACGAATACAAGTTTTAAAATGTTATTTCGCGCGTGAGAAAGCCAATTTAAGCAATGCCATTGGTCATTTTAATGAACAATCAATCCATCCCAGTCAACCAAAAGCTAAGCAATATAGTCTGACCATTAATACACTTACCTTGGTTTTATTCTTCCCCCTTCCTTCTTCTACGACGACAGTACATCCTGCGTGACACGGTGATACATAGGTTATTTTGTTGATACAAACTGGATCATAACTATACCGTTCAGGGCACGCGCAGTCGTAATTGCAAGCATCTCTAATATGTATAGGCATATCACTAAAATGTAATTGTAAGACAGAAATGTAATTCCCTGAAATACGTGTTTAACTACGTCTTTTAACTATTAATTGTTACTAGATAGCGATTGTGCCGCTTATCATTTAGAAATGGCATTTTTTTTTGACAAAACTTAAAAGACAAATTAATGATTTACTCTTTTTATATACCGTAAGTGTTTAAATTCTATGTTCATTGTAGTATTGTTTCTAATTTCTATCTTAATATGTCTCTGTTCGTGGACTTTGTTCTAAACCAAATTTTAAACGTACAATTGCCACGCGTTAATGTTTGCAAACACGGTATTTTTTGTAGACTTTTATCATTGTATTTGTGAAAATCCTGATTTAGATATTTTAAAAGTATAATACACGTGAGTTAAATAACGTTATTATGTATTTATAACAATGTTTGACTTTTAATTGATTATGTGTAAGTTTCTATATTGTATAATGTATTTTCATAATGTAATTGTTGTTTACACTTTTGGATGTGCAATTAATAAATGAAAAAAAAAAAGAATTCTACATAGAGAATAAGTCATACAAAATTTTAAAAATATAAGAATATATCTTGTCTACGGACTTTAAGGTGCCCATGGCATCATTAATATTGTTTCCTTTTGACCAGCAAGTAATTCAAGACAATTATTAATATATTTCAATAAAAAGCAGTGATTTATGTGTGTTACATGTATAGGATATTTAGGCCTATATAATACAATTTCAACCTAATTTTAATATACACTATTTTATTTTAAAGTATTTTTTTAAAGATTGATATTTCGAATTGTGGAATTTTAACATTTTATTTTACATGTTTTTCTCATAATTGTAATTATTTCTTTGTGGAGAACCTCTTGACTGTTATTTTCGTTATAACATATAGGTAATCCTGCCTTCTGTTGCTTTTCTTGTTTTATATGGGTACTGTAAAAAGGTTGGTTGATTAGAGAAGGTAAGCTGACTTCACTTATTTGAATTATTACATTAAATGAATAAATATATAACATCATAAAAAATAGAGACTTACGTAACTGGTTCGATATTATATGGTACAGACACACCGGCTACGTCACTGGTCGGACATCCCACAAATATTAAGAAAAAGTACATGAGGCAGGCGGGGGCGTCCACTATCAAACCAAATAAGGCACACTGCCTCGCGCTCCACTTAAATCGTTTGATTACGTAACCGCCAACTATACACGCAATCATCAATATTGGTAGAACAGCTACTATGATACAGAAAGAAAGATATACTGGTAACAACGACTAATAAATTTCGCGTAATAATAATGTTTTAGTGGCGTTATATAATCCTTACTGTTTTCTATAGCAAACATTTTCTTAACCCTGAGCGCGTAGATATTCATCATTAATACAGTTTTAAATAAACAGCTACTGTTCTTTAATGAATATAAAATAATTATATAAACAAAAAGATCCGCATTTTAGATATAAACTTACGTCCAACTATAGCTGCGGTTGAATTTGACTGGCCGAACTCGTCCACAAAATATTTGATTCCGAACGCGCCAGTAGCGGCATAGGCAGCAGACGATGCGGATGCGGATAAACATATGAACACCATAGCTGGATTAGTAAACATTCTTTTTAAAGCTTGAAACAAACCTATTGTAAAGAGAAACGAATTATAACTAATTATTGGTTTATATTTGTGAGAATAAGTGGAGAGACAGAGGGGGATAACCATTGTGAATGTGGAGAGGCAGAGGGAGCGGGACTGTAGTGAACGTGGGCAGAAGATTTTGGAAACATAATACAGTAATCTTGAATCAAGTTTCAAAAGTCAAACAAAAAAAATTCAAAGTGATATTTATTCATTCAAAAGAAAATTGCAAGGCCTTCCTATTAGACCATAATATCTCTTGTGGAGGGGCCCTGTAGAGCCCACAAATATAAAAATTCACCACAAATGTAAAAATAACCACAAATGTCAAAACATTGTACACAAACGTAAAATCGGTTTAACCACAAATGTAAACAAATTTCGCCTGCAATGTAAATGGTTATGACTGACAAAACAGAAACATTAGTCTATAATGAAGTATGGCCAACTAAAATATGTACTGAAATAATTTTAAATAGGCCTAAATTATTCAAACAAATGTTTGTCAAAAGAGTATACAATATAATTTTATATGTTTGCTTATAATAATGGACAACAATAAGTTATGAATTATATTTTATTAATCGCACACTCAAGGTGACGTCTCCACCTTACCAATCAAAGGTATTAAAGCTAAAGGCTTGTCATATAGATTGCAGAAGAAACACCTTTTTATATTTTAATAAAACAAAAATAATATCTATGACCAGATATTTTTCGAATGTTTTTCGTGATTTTATATTGTATTGTGTTTATGCTCCATGTTATTTGAATTCACGCTGTTGGGTGAAATAAATTAATAAAAATGATAAAGTAAAATAAATATGGAATGTTAGATTACTAAGGTCAAAGATCAAAACAAGTATTTTCAGTATTTTTCAACACAATTTTCAGTTAAGGCAAATAGAAGCATTTCCAGGCATTTAAGACCAAAATTGTGTATGGATAATGTAAATTTTAAGATTATCAGGCATTTCCCAGATTTTACTAGAAGTTAGGATTGGCAAAATTTTAACATTAAATATGTGATTCCATGAATTAATTAGCAGGTAAATAAAATAGATTGCGGTTAACTAAAGTTTTAAGGAAATTAAACTTCGTTTGATTTAAAAATAAAGCCTAAATAATTAAAAATTTTAACTATTTCAATTTCAGTGCCTTTATATAACCATTTTTCAAATTTTCTTAATTTTCACCTTTTTTAAATACAACAATTTTTGACTAATCTACATCTACAGTAAGTTGCAAGTTATCACAATAGTATGCAACTATGTCAATAAGTTGTAATCCCTTTACCGTATCACTAACAATAAATAGATAGTCTGCATATAAAAGATGATTAATGTAACAGTCACCAAACTGTATCTTATTTTTATTTTGATTTAACAGATAACTAATATCATTAATAAATATATTGAAGAGTGGTGAAGATAAAGAAGACCTTGCTGGACTAGGTAGTGTTTATAAAATGAGGTGAAGACTGAGACACGTATACACTAGCAGTGGGCATAGGCTAGGCATTTTAAAACGGGGATTATGGGGGAGCGAAGGTGAAGTGGGAGGGCTCGATGATAAAGTGAAGGGGGTGGAGGCTAGCTGGAAAAATAAATTGGTATTAGGTGATTTTATCCTACTTTTTATTAGTGCTTCAAAAACTTCCAGTGGGAGAGGGCGACTGGGGAGTGAGCTTTTTTGGGAGGGCGTGAGCACCCACCCACTAGATACGCCACTATTCTACATAGTGGTATAGGACGGCGAAAGCGACTAGCAAAGTGCCACCTACCTTTTAGCAATTCCTTTACACTCTTTTTTCTCTTTGGATATTGTCTAACATTCGTACATGTTGGATTGTCACTGATAGAAGTTCTTCGTGGATGTTTTGGGAAGAAAAAGAATGGAAGCGCTGAGAGTCCGAGTAGAACAGCCGCCACCGTGAATCCAACCCACCATGCGCCGATCCATCTGGGATCTGATCTCGGAATTCTTGGCCATTCCGTCAATGGTACACGATCAAAGTCGACGTAAAATTTTAGGGAGATAAAACTAGTAAAGTAACCAGCCATAACACCAATTGGATTAGCAAGGAAAAGCATTGCTGTCGAAGAATTACATAGCATAAATTGAGAGAGCAGACAAATATAGATTGCAATGAAGACGAAAATAGTGCATAATTGATTAGGTAATGTTTCTTATTGAATCTATGGACTAGTATTCTCGAGGAACGTATATTTCACACAGGTGTCCACTTGATTAAAGGTAATAATAATACTCAAGGGTACCCATTTATACTCCTGGGTAGAGAGAGACAAACGTAGATAAAGTGCCTTTGCCAAAGGACACAAGCGACTTGCACAACGAACCCCTGACCTCAAGGTTGGGAGTCCAAGCCACAATCGATGCGCCAACCACTTCTACAAAGATGTATCATTAGTGGTGAAATAATAGAGATTTATGGGGGGAAGGGGAAAACCCCGTTAAAAATTCTATAAACAAATCTAATTTTCTAATTTCTTTTTAAATCTTGGTACAGCAAGCCTGATATTATCATCGTTAATGGTCTAAGAGTCGGGATAGGGGTGCCCTCGTATGTGGGGTCTACTGTCCGGTGTCCACCCACAGGAGACTCCGGAAATTTAGCCATTTTATTGTCTTATCGAAATGATTTCACACTTTATTAAAGAAGTTTATCTTGGTTAGAGGTTTTGTAGTTCTAACTCACCAAATTTTAAGGCGTAGTTGATTCTTAAATAACTTCTTTATATTATTACAATTATTTTACTTTGTTTTGTTTATCAGACATAAAAATGTGGTAACGTAAAGTCTTTAAACTTTAGGCACTTCATCACATAATCTCCATCTGTGTATTGTCACCAAAACAACCATCGTCGACATTACACCACCATCATCATAATCACCATTGCCATCATCGCCATCATCATCATCGTCATCATCATCATCGTCATTATCATCATCATCATCATCAGTATTACCATCATCTTCACTATCATCAACATTGTCATCATTACCGCCACCATTATTTACCACTCTATTCACATAAAGGTAAGCAACTGTTGTTATTGTCGCCACTATAAATCTTAGGAAAACGTGAAAATACCAACCAACATAAAATCCTGTCTTGTGATTTTCAACGGAGTCGTCAATATATGTTGTGGCGAGTGATTTCACAGGGGCACTACCAATTCCTATCAGAGCTTGCCCCAACATCAACCACAAAACACTACTCCACACTGATAAATCAGGCTCATCGGCGGACATTATGTTCGTGACTATGTTGGTAATATTCTCATTGAAGAAGTCTTGATTAGGATCAGCAGGATTAGGACTACGTAAGCAAAGATTCTTGGGATTGTGGCCATTGTTAGTATTACTTAGATGTTTGTCCTTAATATGTGGAATAGTACATAAAAAAACACCCGAGAGCGGCCATCAGTAGACCAGTGCCAACCCATCGTGGACGATGACCACGATGGCCAAAATGAGTGGTGAAAATCACAAAAGTGAAGTCCATAATATCATTAATAACAAGTAATAATCCGGAATTAGTGCTATTGAGATGGAACTGTCGCTCCAACGTGGAGACCACAGCACCAAAGTAAGAGCTGGAATAAACTTTACTAGCAAGACCGATTAGTGTTACGAAAGTAAAGAATTTCACGCCTTTGAAGCGTTGTAACCACGATGGAGTGCAGGGACCGCAACCACATCTATGATCATCATCTCTCTCTTCTTTTATCAAGACAGTTCCAGATTTTGTACTTTGACTTCTTTTGACACCACCAAAAGAGGACATTGTGTCATTATTAGTAGTGTTGTCCCTCGAGTTTCTATCCATGATTGCAACGATATTAGTTGTAACTAAACTATTTCTTTTCAGGAACTCTTGTTTCTTCAATAATTATTTACTGAATCATAATCAGAGGTGTTTTGATGTTGTTAATATTGTATTTGCAGACTAAACACTGCCGCGATTTTAAGGAAACCAGATCTAACACATTACAGGTAATTTACACCTCGGTGATTAAAAAGCTTTATTGATACCAGCAGAAATTAATCTTTTTTTTTGTAGGTAAGTCAACCTGTTTCTGATATCAAACTTTCTGGATAAAGGTAATAATAAAGGTAGTTTAAATAGCATCAACACACGTTCCAAGGTAAGATGTCAGGGCCCCCGTCGGGGAGAAAAACTACAATTCGTCGGGGAGAACAAAAATTGTATGTATTTTATTTCACCCCATTGACCACTTTCGGAACATTTTTCTCTCGTCGGACGAAATCTGCCCCTCGTCGGTGCATGGACCCTCCCGTCGGGGACCTCAGACTCCCACCTCCGTCGGGCAAATCCTGGCGCCACTCCTGCTGTAGATCAATTACCAAATGTCAGTATGATGTGCTATACAAATCTAACTATTATTAATGAACGGGCTTATTGTTAATCATTGTTGATAAGAAGTAATTATGAAGTAGTTATGGTTTTATTGTTACAAAGAAATCCTGTCTGTGCACACGTCACTATAACTGCAGTTTTTATGGTGATGGTAACAAAAACACACCACAAACATAGGCATTATACGTTTAGGATCTTCCAACGGATCATATATAAGTTAAATAAAAACCTTGCTATACTAATCAAGTCCCACAATAATGGACACTTAATTTCATTTAAAATATAATATTTCAACCACCAAATGTAAAAACCTATGATGAGGTAGTATCCTAGATCTAGATTATGTTAAGTCTCCTCAAGATAGCCCATGTAAGAAATAATTCTCCAGCTTCGCGTTATCGTGAAGTCTCTGATGGGTTTTGATTTGATAATGTGGTTCTAAAACGATGTTTCTAATATTTATAAGTGTTTCCGAAAATATACGTATAAGTTGTAAATGTTCACCACTGAATAGTCTATATAACACTCAATATGTTTGATTGATCTATTGAATGTTATGGTTTTGTTGTTTAATTTCGGTATCCGTTGTCCACTTCTTCCAATTGGTGATCATGACCATTGGTATCCTCGTCTTCAGTTTGGCTCTACAAAGATCAAAATTAAATAATAGCCATCATCAAAGATTAATTCAAATTACTAGTAAATAGTTCAAAGTATGTTGTTATTTTACTTTTGTTTCCACTAATATAATAAATATTGAATAAATTAAATTAAATTATTATTATTATGATGATAACATCATCATTATAAAGATATACTGTATGTGGTCAGGTAAAAACATGTATTTCAACAGACCCTTCTAGAATATCGATCAGACATTGCAACTCACCAATTATAACGTATTATTTAATAGGTATGAATACGCGTATGTCCCACAAAGAGTGTGCGTAAGTTTACGCTCTTTAAGGTCCATCTTAGCAACAATAAACAATAGGTGGGGCTTAGCACAGAATGTTCATTGAAACTAGTTAGAAAAAATGTTATCTTTTCCAATAAAAAAGTTCTTAATTGATATCGTTCCTATATCTTATTCGACTGTAAAAATTAACATAAACCAACAAACACCTTACCCCTTTATTCTTCTCTTTCACTGTAAGGAAGACCATAAACCAGCAAAAAAGACCACAAAGATGTAGCGCTGTATACATGCCATAATAGACATATCGATAGCGGGTTCTGTCGTATATTAAACATGCCCCTTCCTCTCCATTCGGCTTGTAAGCAAACTCCAAACAAGACCAGTTCAGAAGAGCGCCAAAATAAACAGGCGCAGGGAAAAACGCTGTTGAAATTTACAAAAAGTAATAATAATGATTATAGGCCTATGACAGAAAACGACGGCAAACAAATAGTTTTATATTAATTTAGTTATTTATTCATGCATGCATTCATTCATTCATTCATTCATTCATTGTAATCATTCGTTCATTCATTCATATCTAGTCGTTCATTCGTTTGCACGTACCCACAGACATGCATCCATCCATCTCACTGCATGCATGCATCCATCCATCCATTTATTCATCAACCTATTCAGACATCTGTTCATCTGTTGCTCGCTAGTTTATTTGTTTGTTTGTTCGTTCATTCATTCATTCGTTCATTCATCCATTTAATTATTCATTCATTCTTCCGTTCAAGTATGTTGGATAGCAAGAAAAAATGAAATAAAGCATGAAAGATGAGAAGTTTTTACCTAAAATATTAACCAGAAATATCTTGATACCAAGCGCAAGTGACCTGTCCTGTTTCTCAACACACCTGGGAAAAATACGAAAAGTCATCATTTATTTACAAATATTAAAACTAAGGTGTAATAAATTTGTTACTTCGCGGTGAAAATACATGAAAAGCAAGCTGTTTGATTCACGTACAAATTTAGACATACCACATTTTAAAATAAATGTTATTCAATGTTGTGGCCCAAGGCCAAAGATATGCCAAGCAGCGAACTTCATCACTTTCTATTTTCATATCCTATTTTTATTACAAGGACTTTTAATACAGTAAAAGTCCTTGGTTATTATAAGTTTTTGAAATTCTACATTCCTGCCCATATCTTTTTGAAATTTACATTTAAAAATAGGCCTAATATAAGATACAGAGGTTATTTATAAAAACCGATGGCCAGAATTCATATCAGGGTGACTTTCAACATAAATACAGGTACTATAAAATACAATTAACATCATTAATTTTTAAAATACTATACGAAAAAGTAAATTGGAAAGAAAATTACTATATCATATCAAAAACCAGAAGGTGAAAATTTGAAGCTTATGTACTTACCTCAATGTCACGATTATATCGGCACTCCTTCCTAGACTACTTGTCCCCAGTGCTATCAAAATTAATATCACTGCTATAAGAAAATTAAAATTACACTTTTCGTCGATTGGACATGCGCCGTTCTCAACTTCCACACCCGGGTCAACGCAACTACAGTTTGAATATTGCTAAATAAAAAAAATGCGATAATTTATAGACTTATTTTGAAAGTATAACTTAAATCAATGTACAGTTTATTCGTGAATGCACTCAGTGAGCGCGTAACACGCACACCATCTCAAACAATGAAGAAATACAAACTTTAAAATGTTATCTCGTGAGAAAGCCAGTTTAAGCAATGCCATTGGTAATTTTAATCAACCAATCAATCCATCCCAGTCAACCAAAAGCTAAGCAACATTGTCTGACCATTAATGCACTTACCTTGATTTTATTCTTCCCCCTTCCTTCTTCTACGACGACAGTACATCCTGCGTGACACGGTGATACATAGGTTATTTTGTTGATACAAACTGGATCATAACTATACTGTTCAGGGCACTCGCAATGATAGTTGCAAGCATCTGTAATATTTATAGGCATATCACTGAAATGTAATTGTAAGACAGAAATGTAATTCTCTGAAATATGTGTTTAATTACGTCTTCTAAATATTAATTGTTACATGCTAGCGTTTGTGTCACATATAAATTTCAAATGGCATTATTTTTAAAATCAACAATAGGGTTTTACGTTTTCTCGGCCCAGAAACTCGTTGTTTCAAGCTCCTAATTTTTCTCCAAAACTTAAAAGACGAATGAATGATTTACTCTTTTTATATAGGTGTTTAAATTCTATGTTCACCTGTAATACTGTTTCTTATTTCTATCTTAATGTCTCTGTTCGTAGACCAATTTTAAATGTGCAATTTCTACGTGTTATGTTTGTAAAGACGATATTTTTTGTAGACTTTCATTTATTTGCGAAAATCCTGATTTAGATATTTTTCATTGTAGTTTTTCTAAGTATATTACACGCGAGTTGGTTAAATAATGTTACTATGTATAACATTTTTTTAGATTTTCAATTGACTATGTGAAGTGTGAGTTTCTATACTTTATACTGTACTGTATTTTCATCATGTAACTGTGTTGACATAATTTGATGTGCAATAAATAAATGTAAAACAATTTATACATAAAAATTCATACAAACGTTTTAAAAATAAGTTACTCTAAGGGGCCGATGGCTTTACAGTTTTATGTTGATTTTGACATTTTTTGACAAGCAAGTACTGTAATTTAAGACAGTAATTGATTATTTCTATAAAAAGCGATGATTTATGTGCGTTCCATACATGTCAAAATTTGTGAATGATTAGAGAAGGTAGACTTACTTTACTAATTTAAATTATTAAATTTAAATAAATAAAGGTATAAAATCATAATAAATAAAGACTTACATAACTGGTTCTAAGTTATATGGTACAGACACACCGGCTACATCACTGGTCGGACATCCCACAAATATTAAGAAAAAGTACATGAGACAGCTGGGGGCGTCCACTATCAAACCAAATAAGGCACATTGCCTCGCGCTCCACTTAAATCGTTTGATTACGTAACCGCCAACTATATACGCCATAATCAATATCGGTAGAATAGCTACTATGATATAGAAAGAAAAAAATATACTGGTAACTAATTAAAGTTCGACTAATAAAGTTCGCGTAATAATAATGTTTTAGTGGCGTTATATAATCCTTACTGTTTTCTATAGCAAACATTTTCTGAACCCTGAGCGCGTAGATATTCATCATTAATACAGTTTTAAATAAACATAACTAATGTTTTTTAATGAATATAAAATAAATAAAATAAGAAGTTCCGTATGTTTGATATAAACTTACTTCCAACCATCGACGCGCTTGAATTTGACTTGCCAAACTCGTCCACAAAATATTTGATTCCGAACGCGCCAGAAACGGCATAGGCAGCAGACGATGCGGATGCAGATAAACATATGAACACCATAGCTGGATTAGTGAACATTCTTTTTAAAGCTTGAAGCAAACCTATTGTCAAGATAAACGAATCGTAACTAACATTTCATGACGCGAATGTGGAGATTCAATTCAATTCATTTATTCGCCTCAACTGATTACAATATGAATACACAAAAAGAAACAGACAAAAAGGAGGCAGGCTTCCCAAAAAGAGATTCAAATCTCTATCGAGAGAGACCGTGATGGAGAGGGACCGTGGTGAATATGGAGAAGGATTCGGAAACATGGACAGTAGTCTGGATCATTTTTCAAACGTTAAAAAGGTCAAAGTATTCATCCAAAAGGAAATTCCTTCCTTTTATGAAAGCGCCCCATTCGACAGTGATTCTATTTTTAGGATGTTCTTGTCACATGTTCCTTTGTTCTTATATTGTTCCTTACCAATTTTTTTTTTTAATTCGGAGTGTTTTAAAACACAAAAATGAGGTGAAATTAAAAAGTGAAGACTGAGATAGGTCTTTACATATAGCAGTGGCGTATCTAGGGGTTTTAAAACGGGGCTTATGGGGGAGCGAAGGTGAAGTGGGAGGGCTCAATGCTAAAGTGAGTGGGCTAGCTGGCAAAAATAAATTGGTATAAGGTGATTTTAACTACTTTTTATTTTTGCTTTTTGGGAGGGCGTGTGTACCCCCTAGATACGCCACTGATACACAGTCAAGGTGAAGGTGAAGGCGACTAACAAAGTGAAACGTACCTTTTATCAATTCCTTTACACTCTTTTTCCTCTGTGGACGTTGTCTAACATTCATACATTTTGGATTTTCACTGATAGAAGTTCTTCGACAGATATGTGGATGTTTTGGAAAGAAAAAGAATGGAAGTGCCGAGAGTCCGAGCAGAACAGCCGCCACAGCGAATCCGACCCACCATGCACCAATCCATCTGGGATCTGATTCCGGAATTCTTGGCCATTCCGTCAATGGTACACGATCAAAGTCGACGTAAAATTTTAGAGAGATAAAACTAGTAAAGTAACCAGCAATGGCACCAATTGGAGTAGCAAGGAACAGCATTGCTGTCGAAAAATTATATCACATATAATAATAGAGAGCAGACGAATATAGACAGCAATAACGACGAAAATATTGTATAATTGATTAGGTAATGTTTTTTTTTTTAAATTTTCTTTGAATCTATGGATTAGTTTTGCCGATGAACGTAATTAAGTATGTTACATACAGGTGTCGACTTGATTAAATATGTATTGGTGAAATATAGAGATCTATCGGGGAAAAAACAGTTAGGGTTCATTCTATAAATGAATATAATTTTCTTTTTTTATATCTTAGTAAAGCAGTTTGGTTAGAGGTTTTTTTTAGGCTCTAACTCACCAAACTATAAGGCGTATAGTCGATTTTTAAAATAACTTCTTTATATCATTACAATTATTTTACTTTGTTTTGTTCATCCGACATTAAAATGTGGTGACGTAAAATGCTTTAAACTTTAGGCACTTCATAACATAATCTCTATCTGTGTAATCGTCACCAATACTACCATCATCGACCTAGACTACCACCACAAAATTATCATCACCATCCTCATCATTATCATCATCACCATTATCTTCAATATCATCGACATCGTCATCATTACCGCCACATTATTTCGCACTCCATCATCATAAAGGTAAGCCATTATTGTTACAGTAGCCCCTAATTCTATAAGTAAACGTGAAAATACTTACCAACATAAAATCCTGTCTTGTGATCTTCAACGGAGTCGTCAATGTATGTTGTAGCGAGTGGTTTCAGAGGAGTATTACCAATTCCTATCAGAGCTTGCCCCAACATTAACCACATCACACTACTCCACACAGATGAATATGGGCCAAACTCATCTACATTAATCCACACAGATGAGTTAAACTGACCTGCGGATATCATGTTCTCTATGTAGGTAATATTCTCATAGAGGTCTTGATTAGGACCAGCAGGATTAGGACTACGTAAGCAAAGATTTTTAGGATTCTGGCCATTATTAGTATTACTTACATATTTGATCATAATATGTGGAATAGTGCATAGAAAACAACCGAGAGCGGCCATCAGTAAGCCAGTGGCAACCCATCGTGGACGATGACCACGATGGCCAAAATGAGTGACGAAAATCACAAAAGTGAAGTCCATAATATCATTAATAACAAGTAATAATCCGGAATTAGCGCTATTGAGATGGAACTGTCGCTCCAACGTGGAGACCACAGCACCAAAGTAAGAGCTGGCATAAACTTTACTAAGAAGACCGATTAGTGTTATGAAAGTAAAGAATTTCACGCCTTTGAAGCGTTGTAACCACGATGGAGTGCAGGGACCGCAACCACATCTATGATCATCGTCTTTCTCTTCTTTGATCAAGACAGTCCCAGATTTTGTACTTTCACTTCTTTCGACACCACCAAAAGAGAACATTGAGTCCTTGTTATTAGTGTTATCACTCGAGTTTCTATCCATGATTGCAGTTGGAACTAAACTATTTCTTTTCAGGAACTCTTGTTTCGTCGATAATTATTTACTGAATCATAATCAGAGGTGTTTTAATGTAGTTTTAACACATTACAGGTAATTCACACCCCAGTGATTGACAAGTTTTATTGATACCAGCAGAAAGTAATCCTACTTTTGTAGGTGGTAATTTAACCTCTTTCTGTTATCAAATTTTCTGGATAAACGTAATAATAAAGGTAGCTTAAACAGTACCAATTCACGTTCCAAGGTAAGAAATTTGAAATTCTGCCAGAAACCAAAGTGTGAAACAATGACATTGGAATAAAAGTAGATCGCAAAGCATATCTGCTGAAATGAAGTAAGACGTACTTTATCTGCAAAACCGTATTCTTTTTACTGGTCCGGGAATTTGTATCAATTCTTACATCATCGGAAAAGGGCGGAACAGCCTCGTTTTATTTTATGTTTTACAGCTTTGTTGCAACTATCTTGTTTTTGTTTGCGTGTTGATACTCCCGAGAATTCTTACGAGATCCGATGGACTTTTACCACGCTTACCCTGTAATTTTGTGGGAAATTAACAGCATCCAATGGCACTGCTTAGCAGAACGGACCATTATTAGTAGTCTACCTAATTTGAGACAATGAATTAAAAACATAATTAAATCAGCTTAAATTGAGAATTATATTAAATTAATTTTATTACTGTATCTGATAAGATAAAATGGTTGAAAATATAACATAAATAATATATTGCACATACCATACTTAAACACACATTTTTCATGAGTCTAAAGAGAGCAAGTAGATATAAATACACCCTTTTAGTGATGTTGTAACATTTATTTTTTAAAGGGTGACTTTTAGGTAGTTTAATTCTATACTTCAGCAATCCCTATACTGAATATGTGATAATCATAGACAAGCTAATGTGAAATATTTATGAGCCTCAAAGATTCGTTGTTTTCTGTAAAAATCTATAATTAAGTTCATAATTTGTAAGTTATTTTGAAAAGAGCAAGCACTGTATAAAAAAAAATCATATTTTTTTGGCATTTGTCAAGGATCAATACAACTTAATTAAATACAATTAAATACAAAGCAATATAATACAGTATTGTATTTTATAAGTAAATACAATAAATAAAATCGATATGGAATAGGTACAAGACTTGCAACCTCTTTAAATATGTGTAATAAACCTAAGATTGTGGGTATGTGTAACATATAGGCAAGTTGAATGGCTGAGTGGTAAGTTAGGGGCACCACAAACTACAGCCTTAATCATCAGTGCTTGTTCAAGCCACAGCCAGGGTTCGGTTGGTAGTAAAATGCGGTTGGTGCATCGGTTGTGGCTTCGACACCCAACCTCGATGTCGGGGGTTCGAAACTCTCGCTGAGCAAACCGCTTAATGTCCTTGGGCAAGGCACTTCTCTTTACCCAGGAGTACAAGTGGGTACCTGATAGGTTCGAACACAACTGCGCTGATTACTAGCTGCAATATTATGGAATTCTTCATTGGGAGCTGAGTATGTGGTGGGTAGTAATGTGAAGCGCTTAGAGGACTATTGTGTGATTAATCCTAGTACTTTCTAAGACGGAGTCGACGTTAAGGTAAGTAAAACTCGAAAAAAAAAAAACTGTTCCAAAGGCATGTTTGCATACATTTTTATATTATTTGAAACACCGTACTTGAATCTATTATACTGTGTATGATGATGGTGATACAGATTTCAAGAAAAATACAAAAACAGCGTGGTGTCCCTGTGCATTTTTGCATACGTATTTGTGACATAGTTTTATGTACTTATTAAAACATTCATAAAAACCAAAGTTGTCAGCTATTTCATTTGTAACCAGTGTCAGTATAATCTTAGGTAAGCAGGTGGTTAACATAAACAAGAATTTAGTCCAATGAAACTGTTTAACATCTTGATACCTTCCGACGAAAATTGACTCTACCGGCGTCACCACGGCGTCCCCACCGATCGATCTAACGTGACGTTGATATGTGGGTGTTTTATAGATTATTGAGAATGGTAATATCACCGAAAAAATAGATAAAATGACAGTTGAATGACCAATAAAGACAACTGAAGGCAATAGTTCGTCATTAGAAGTTATTTAGTATAACTTTATTCGGAAAATTAATCTCAAAATCGAGTTGCCGTCCCCGGCGTTGTCAGTCACGTCGTATGATTTGTGTGCGATTTTTACCCATTAACGATAGGTAAAAAGTATTTGAGCCATGTAGTATCTTGAAAATCAACCCAGAAACCTGGTAGTTTGTTGGTTGTTTATTGGTAGCGTCCCTTCGCTGCCAAAAATAGATTTTTTTGCAGTTGCGTACCCGGTGACATCGTGAGGGCATAGTGAAGACTGGTTACGATTTGGTGGCACATCGAGTATTTTCATTCATCTGGCCATGTAAGTCAGTGGCGTATATAGATGTCTTTAAATGGGGGATGATGGGGGACGCGAAGATGAAGTGGGGGGAGGGGATCGATGATCAGTTGAGGGGCGCTATTTTTAAC